ATCACAACTCAAAACAGATAATCATAATTCTAAGACTAAACTAAACACTATCTATATTACCTTTACATATTTATCTATCTATTCACGTCATATAGATTAAAATAAATAAATAAACGTTATGAAACTTGGTGATTGGAGGCAAGTGGGTTGAGAAAGTGAAGGGAATGAGTTATAATACCAAGAATTCACTTTTTAAAAAATTAAACTTCTTCATTTTTTGTATTTTTTTATTTTTATTGAATATTTTTATATTTTAAGTAATTTTTTTTTAATTTTTAGACACACCTAATATAAATATAATTAAAAAATATAATATTTGTAAAAAAAATTAAAAATTCACTCAATACCAAAATTATAAAAAAAAATAAAAATTAAGTATATTTTTTTGTATTTTGTGTATTTATTAATTTTTAAAAACATTTTTTACAAATATTTTACTATTTAGATATATCTAAATAAGTTATATCTAAAAAAGTAAAAAAATTATTTAAAATTTAAAAAATATTTATTATAAATAAAAAATTATAAAAAATAAAAAATAATAATTTTTAAAAAATTAAAACTAAACACACTAAATAATAGAGACTCTATGCACAACCTATTTCCATATTTTGGGGTGTAATTAATTAAGGGTAGTGGACATTTGATTTGACAGTTGAAACTTTGGTGGGTTTCCTAAACAAGGAGAGAGAAGAGTCCTTTTCTATAAGAGTTCATTTTTTATAAAAAAAATATTATAGGTTTCAAATTTTTTATTAAATAAATAATTAAATATTTCATCTAAATGTGAGTTCATAAAATTACAAATCACACTATGTGAGATATTTAATTATTTATTTGATTAAAATTTTGATATTCTTAATATTGTCCTATTGATAATACTACAAAAATAATGGGTTTGCTCAAAGATGAAACTACACCACATATTTGTGTTAGTGACGGCATCCTATTGCCACCCACCGCATATCTATCTAACTTTATGGGTTGGTTTGGGAAGTGAGTTAATTTTTTAACTTTTTGACTTTTTTAGTTATTTTAGTCTGGGCTAAAAAGTTTGGTTTGGGAATGACTTTTTGACTTTTTTGACTTTTTTTGTGAGAAAAGAGTGTAATGATTATGAGTTGGATGTAATGTTTTATTTTTTGTGACTAAAATAGTCTATTTTGTTTTTTGTGACTAAAATAACCAAAAAAGTCCATAAACCAACTTGCCAAACAGAGGTATGTCTGTCTAGTACATCATATGCGCGTTGTGACCGCTCATTGGTATTGCCATTTCACTTCATGTGCCTTTTCTTATCTCCTTGGTCCCCTCCTAAGACAATGACATTGTCGGAAGTGGGGACGCTACTGCGCAGCCCGCGCAGCAGGGTCTGCTGTGCGGTGATTTGGGCCTATTTCGAGACTTATTTTGATAATATGAACCGTTCACATTTTAAAATACGTCAAGTAGAACATGCCTGCAAAAAATCAAGTTAATCGAATATCATTTACTTATTCATCCACCCACATTTGTATTCATTCTAATCAAGCTAAAATACATTTGTATTTATTTTTGTAGATACAAATGTGAGTGGATGAATGCGTAAACGATATCCGATTAACTTAATTTTTTGCAGGCATGTTCTACTTGACGTATTTTAAAATGTGAACGGTTCATATTATCAAAATAAGTCTCGAAATAGGCCCAAATCACCGCACAGCAGACCCTGCTGCGCGGGCTGCGCAGTAGCGTCCCCACTTCCGACAATGTCATTGTCTTAGGAGGGGACCAAGGAGATAAGAAAAGGCACATGAAGTGAAATGGCAATACCAATGAGCGGTCACAACGCGCATATGATGTACTAGACAGACATACCTCTGTTTGGCAAGTTGGTTTATGGACTTTTTTGGTTATTTTAGTCACAAAAAACAAAATAGACTATTTTAGTCACAAAAAATAAAACATTATACTCTGTCACACCAACGGTAAGTTATTAAAATTGCTGGTGCAGAATGGCTACTTCTCAACTCAAAATTTATATGTATATATGATGTAACTTTTCCATGTTGCATTTTGATGGAAATTTAAATTTATATCAATCTTCAATTTATTCGTAGTGCCACAAAAGTAACCTACCTATTTGAACCAGTTCGCAGGCCAACTAAAAATTGAAGCAAGATTGAAGCAGGTACCTCCAACGTTAATGCACATTGAAATGGTGAAATCTCACGGAGATCCTCAGTTTGATGAAACTTTTGCTCCGTTCTCAATTTGATATCAATTTGGTAAAACCATTGGAGAGAGAAAAAGTGATTTTCATCAAATTCAAATCCGATACTCAATCTGATGCAACGTTGGAGATGCTCTTACATCACCATTCTTTTTAACAAAAATTACAAATTAGTCAACAATAAAAGAATATTTATACTTTTATAGCCCCGTTTAATGTAAGTCCTTATGTTAGAAAAGATTTCATTTATAGTGTAATTATTTTTTCATTATCTTACTAGTTCGTAATTTTTCTTTTTTTAACTCATAACATATTTACACAAACTAATAAATTTATATTTTTTTATTAATTAATGTGTTACGTATTAATTTTTTTTTGAAATTCTCAAAAAACCTCTTATAATTTGACCCACAACAATATAAGAGTCAACTTTTTATTTGTTACACCTAATGATATAGAGACAAACTCACTTACTACATCATTGTGAATAAATAATAATTTCAATTCACGTAGGCAATTTCATCGTCAAACGAAGTTAGGGGTGAAATTCAAACCATCCAACCCCAAACGCCAAATTTGGTGTAAACTTAGATAAAAATTTAAAAATTTAAAATTAAATTTAAATTTAAATTTAAATATCACACAATCCAAACAATTCAAAACCATAATTTTAATATATAAAAATATTAAATATATATATCAATTATTAGTCGTTTAATGATATGTGTATATATATATACACCAATAACACTAACACAATAAGACAACAATTCCTTGATTCTCATCACTCCACTCCTCTTTGTCTCTCTCATCACATGAATGGTTTGCTATAAATAATTTTACCAATAAAAATGTTAATAAGATCTAATTTCAACAAATTAATTAGCCTAGTTGGACCTAACCCAATTTTAATTTATTATGATGAGGTCAAATATAAAAAAACAAGATCATGTTACAAGTCAAAATTAAATAAATTCAGACAACTCTCAATACAATTTAAATTAAACTAGATAACTATTCAACCCAACCAAACCATCCCAACAAGTAGCAAGCATATCACGCAACTTATCTAAATCCCCAAAATTAGCCAAATGACGCTCCAAGAATACAACAAAAAATGAAGGGATAAAAATATACATCAACAAATACAGAGCCTATGAAAACTAAAAAAATACTGGGTATTGCTGTAAACCATATCTCAAGCACAGACACAAAAACTCCACTTGGTTTAATTTTTCAATTTTGAGTCTTTGAAATTTGAGTTATATTTGAAATTTTTAAATTTTTTTTTAAAATATTAAAAAATGTTTAAGAAAATTTTATTTTATTTATTTTAAATATATAATTTTTATTTAAATATTTTTAATCTTTTTAATCTTTTATTTTATTTTATAAATTTTTTAATTTTAATATTTTAAACTTGGTTGGTTTGGCATAAACTAAATAATATAAAAAGTCAAAAAATCACTATCCTATTTAAGTCGCATCATCTTATTTAAATCACATCACCTCTCTAACACATCACATCAAATCCAACGCAAACCCAACCCATATAAGCCAATAAGTGGTGTTTTGAAAAGTTAGTAAAAAGTTGACTTTTTTACTTTTTTAACTTATTTTGTCTTTTTGTGAGTAAGTTTTGTGAGAGGTGATTTGACTCAAAATTGATAAAAAACTGAAAGTTGACTTTTTACCAACTTCCCAAAGTGAGCGTCAAAAAGTGTACTCTTTTAGAACATCCCAAACCAACAAAACACAACTTCACATTCAAATCGTAACCAAACACACACATAACTCAAAACACAACTCAAAAATTATATTTAATTATGAATTTTGAATAGTTTTGAATTATATATTTAATTATAAATTTTAAAAAGAATTTTAAATTTTTTTAATTAGAACTATAATTTTAAAAGAGAACCAAAGGCAGCCAAAATCTATAATAAGCTTATTCGTCATTACAAAATACAGAAGATACCACCTTGTGGGCAATCCTTTAAATATTAAAAATTCAGGCATTTTTTATTTTATGCATATAGCAGGAAATGCCAACTTACCTTCTTCACGCCACAGATAAATCAGACAATGTGACTACACGGATGGTCCACCCATGCCAAATTGCCTATCAACTTGACAATAAAACCAAATTTAAGAACATAAAGGGCTGCCGTTGACATCAGTGAGAAGATACTGTTCAAGCCAAGGTTTCAACATGATCAGTAGCCAAAAACAAGATTCACGGATAAGGCAATGATTCAGAGCACTAATTTTCGTGCTCTAATGGCACACTATTGACATGGCCAGAAGAAAAAAGATACAAAACAAAACAAACCAAGACCAAAACATCATATCACAATAGATGGAACCCACTAACTGGCTTTAGTGCTCAAAAATTAGAGCTCCAAAGCATTTTTCAAGTCCATTAGAACATTTCTAAGCTCATAAATTTAAGATCACCGTTCATCTAAAGATACGACTAAACATGCCAAAGATGTCTCATTATTGCATAAAAACTCTCCGGTCAATTACACAAAACATTCACTCCACCAAACTTGACTGACAAAATGGAACCTAACCCCCTCAATTCAACATTTACTATATCAGAAGGAGAAGCCCATAGGCGAGAAGGCAAGAAACCAGCAGAAACATGAAATAAAAAGTACAACAAAAATCAAGCAAAGAAAACCAAGACCACAGATATATTTGGACAATCAACGTCAATAACCCAGAAAATACCAAAGCCTTTTCCAATAAGTTGAAAGCTCACAAGTAAAATACATGCAGTAAATTTGGTAGATGATGGGTTCTAGTTCAACAAACATTTTAGAAATTAGCTGAAAATGATAACACACAATCACTATTCCAAATCCATCCAAACTCCAGTCTATTTTTTTAATTGTGGCAGATGAACCCACTGTTAACCCACAAACGTAAATATCAGGCAAAGAAATTTCCCCTCCTAAACATAATTGCAATCAGAACCATGGCTGACGTATTTGATAATAACAAAACAGAAAAAATGAATGATAACACAAATTTGGCCACCAAGGAATCAAATGCCTAAAAGTAAAAATTAGAAATATGGTGCAAAATAATGGGACCTGGACACACTCTTACTCCGGCTCCGACTAGAACTGTGCTTTTTCGGGCTTTCACTCATGCGTTTCTGCCACTGAAGATAATCAAATTCAAAATAAAAGGCAATACAAAGAAAACAATGGCAGGTTCATATAAATCAAGATTATTGTAACTATAGATAGTCTATTTACCCACGGAAGACATCAGGATGTTCAACAGGTAAACCCTCTTTAAGATATTCAAACTTATTAATTAGCTAATGAGGGTTCAACCAGATTAAATTGCCCCAAAACTTCAAGTTCATAGGCAAGAAGAATATGGGCAATCAACAGAACCAGTATCTAGGTTTCAAAACATTGCTAAAAAAGAATGTGAGGTTTCACTTACAGATGGTACGGGAGATCTGGATCTTGATGGAGATCTGCAAAAGTTCCAGAAACAACCCAAATTTAATATCCACAAGTCCCTTGTAACTACTGTGCTCCAAGAGCCTTGATGCCTCTTCCAAGTCATATTTACCACAATCAAAACAGATAAAAAGGGAAAGCCACAAATATTTAGCAGCCCAACAGAGAAATATATGGCACCCTCTAAATAAAAGACCTAATAAAGTTAAAATGCAAACCTTGATGAAAGCATTACAATGCTTGTTTAAGACACCAGTGACAGGATGCCCAAAAGACCAACAAAGAATCCAGATACTGTGTTCTATTAGCTTGGCAATGTTGAAAAAGCAATGACAGTATAATTGTTCCACCGCAGAAGGATGGTGGTTCCCAAATTCCAATAGCACTTAGTTCATAGTCCAGCTTTAACATCACAACCCATGAACTTCATTGTTCCCAATCTAGCACCCATGGACATTTGAGATGCTTAATGTATTAGAGCAGACATACCACAAAGGTTTCTAAAGCTGCCCATCTAAAAAACAGCATACCTTCGCAACCACAAGAGTTGCAGGCATTTGAACCACATCCCACCAAGATCCTACTATCCAATCCCCAGATAGCCGCATACATCCATATCTAAAAAACAAACAAGGTAATTTCATATATATAAAAAGGACAAAATGGGATTAATAATTGTTTGACAATCTGGTATGTTTTCTCAATACCACTTCTTCTAAACCAATAATGAAGTCAAGAAAGCATGGCAAATATTGGACAAAACAAGCAGAGTTCACTGAAGCCAATGTGCTAGTAAAGTGCAAGAATACCGGAAAATCTCCTCACCACTTCCCCATTTAATTGAGCCTAAAATAGAACTTGGAATTAAAACCTATAAATCAAAATGATACATCATACATATCAGTACTAGAAGCAAGAGTTTGTACGTAGATCCCTTCATTCTTTTTTCTTAGCTAAGTATGCAGGAGATATTTCTCCACTCATATGATGACAAAATATATTTGGCAACGACGTAGTAGAAATTAGAAATAAAATAAAATAAATAAATCAACTTGAGAGATGAGCCAAAGACTTGTTATTTAGGCAGGACCATGCCAAGATAAGTTCAAATAGTACACAAGAGTCTAACAAAACCCACAAAGGTTCTTCAAACTGCAGATAAACAAATGATAAACTCATGAAAACTTATCACAAAATAGATATTAATAACTAAAGCCAAGCCGACTTTAAATATGATCCAGCTAAAAAAGCTGCTTTTTGGCAAAATATAAGTATAAAGCCAAACTGCTAAAATGCATGTTTGTTGTCAGCTAAAATGGCCAAAAATCAACTCAGTTTTTCCACGCACAAAAACAACTTTTTACAATACCAAACAACCCCTAATCTATATAGGAGAAGACAAGGTGTTCCTCCCGAAGTGAAGTTGTGTAGATTACTTAAATTACAAAGTACTCATACAAAAATAATTTTTTTTAACAATTTAAATAATTTTGTTCCCTTAACTATACGACAAACATCGAAATCTAAAACTATTTTACACTCACTCACCTTTCCTGGTAACTTTCCTCAACCACTTGACAACTGATAATCCATGTTTGCAAAGGCAGATACTTTTTTTCCTACCAAGGTCTGCAGTAACGATTCTGCAAGTTGTTTTGGTTGATATAACGTTGGCCAGTCTTCCTGCTACTTAAGTCCATTCACGAGGTTTTTTTAGGGATTTTAGCACTTTTGTTTCTTGCTGTGTGTGAAAGCCTACAAATGGGTTTATTAAACAGTTCTGAAAGTCAGTTCAAGGTCGCTTTGCTTCTTTCTCTCTGAGGGAAGTGAGAGCATTAAAAGCACAAATCTCTGAGTCTCTTGAGACTGGGGACACAGAAAATGTTACAGTATCAGGAATCATTAGGCATTGCCCATTGTTGATGAGAGGCTGATTCCAACGTCAATTTTGCTTCCTGCTCGGTTGCCTCATCCCCAAACCAACGAAAAAGTCATATACCTTCCCCTACAACAAATACATACATATATCCATTCATGTGTATATATTCATATTTTGTGGGATAGTGAATTAAATTTAAGCCCTTGACTATTCATTGTATGTGAAGTCCGTATGTTAATCACATTTTCATTGCTTCACTTCACCTAATCTTGATCAATTTTTGAATCAATCGTTCCAGACAATGACCCCAAATGTTGCAGGACAGAAGGCCACATTGTCCAATCTATCGTTGAAAGCAAAGGCTGCTGCCAGTAATTCATTTAACGTGTACTCACATAGTGAGTGCCTCCCATGCATTAGTAGTAGATTGAATCCAGTTCAAGCGAAAAAGTTGGATTCACAAATGTGACTTGGATGCGGCTACAACCCAAAATGAAACTTGATGATAAAGGTAGCTAAAGTGACACAATGCACCATGCATAACTGATAAGAGTATGGTCATACATAACTGACGAGTTCAAGTTATAAATCAATCCTTTGTAAGGTTTTCTACAATGGAAAACAATTGATACAGTATAACTGAAAATGTGTACAAAGCAATTCCAACACATGATGTGAATATGACAAATATGAAACAGCAAGAATAAAAATTCAAGAAATTGAATGCATCATGCAGAACATATAGATCATTGGATAGCAATTTCTGACATTTACAGCCAAGGATCAGTGACTAAATACAAAACGAAACCAGACCTATTTTCAATACTTGTCATGATGCAGAACATGGCAAAATATGTCAAATGGACTACCTTAAAAAAATAAATAACACACGAAACATATCAACAAACCCAAGTAGACAATTTAAAACTGCGAGTAAAAGAATTCTATGTGAAATAAACCAGTGTCAACACACAATTTCCGTTTCATTTCATTCACACAGAAATACCACATTGCCAATAGGATCATTCATTATTTCAACATGCACAATTTTCTTCCTAATATTCTTAAATCAACTCCACTTTTTATTTCCCTTTTATCTTCCCGTCGATTTAGAAATCAATAACTTTACAATGTGGACCAACCATCAGACACCATTTAAAACAAAACGAAGTAAGCTTTATTTCCACAAGTCACAGAAAGGACTGAAATGAATATGAATGGGATAGCAAATAACATTAGTTCACTAGTGGTCATCCAAGGGAAACAGTATGAAACCATGGAATAATGATGAATATCTCTATGATCAAGCTCAAATTATAACAATAAAGGTATACCTTGACAGAGAACGTGGCTTTGATCCAGAACGAGAACGAGAAGCAGATCTTGAATGAGATTTAGCAGGTGATCGACGCACAGATTTGGCTTTCGGAGACTTGCTGAATGATAATTCAACAAAATTAGAAGAAAAAAAAACAAACGCAAAATGGCAAAATATATAGCCAAAAATTACATGATCCAACCACCTGCTCCTGCTCCTGCTCTGACTCAAACTCCGGCTGCGACTGTAGCTCCTGCCTCTCGAGTAAGAGCGACTACGACTGCGGCTTCTGGAATAGCTCCGGCTCCAACTTCGGCTTTGGCTTCGGCTACGGCTTCGGCTTCGGCTTGATTTATACTCCCTTACATGTAGGTAAATTGGAATGCTAAACAGAATGCATATGGGGTATTAGCATTAAAATATTGAAGTAACAAGCTAAAGTCATACACGAACTATTGCTCGAGTAAAAGCATTCCGAAACTCAGAGTCATCAAGTTTCCTAATCTGCAGAATAGGAAACCAACAGGCTGCTTAGGCATATAAAGCAACTAATATGCGCTTTTCATAAATAATAATAATAATAAAATATAAATAAATAAATAAACTCACAAAAATTTATGTCATCCACTTGAACAAGTACAGAAACAAATTTACAACGAAATGGTGACTTACTGCATATTTCATGTCATCATAGTTTGTGTAATCCACAATCCCTGTTGTACCTGCAAGACAACCATAATAGATAATATTAGAATCCAGTTACAGAGATAAAACGAGAGACATACCAATTCTATAATTCTCTGAAGACAATGCAACAATTTGCAGAATAAACCATCAGAATAGCACAAACGGATTAGGTAGAAGTCCAAACACAAATCATAAGATAGACCATTGTACATAGAATCAGCAAAAGTGTAGCTTAAATAAATTGTAGGAAGAAACTGAATCCCAAGATAGTAAAATAATATAGACAGTGTAATAATTCAGAATATGTTTAATTCATTTGAAAATCTAATTGTCAGATCTGCTTCAACCGCATACGGAGAAATCAATATATGTCCACACCATCCCCGTGTCTTTTGCATTGCTAACAAGTTCACTTTGCACAATTAAAAATTTAAGCATTCATAGCTATCACTGCGATTTGAAACCCTAGGATGAATACTCTAAAATGCATGTTGAGTTGAGCAAGAGTAGTATGACTAAGAAGGGACTGAAGGGGCTCGAACCCGCAAAAGACCTTGACAGGGCGGTGCTCTAACCAATTGAACTACAATCGCAGGAAAACAAGGGATATAACAGAAAATTGGATTGTTTTTTTATTCCTACGTATCAGGTATTTCTAAAGGACAAGGGGTAATACCATCTCATGGTAGATTGGCAAATTACTAGGCCGAGTTGGATTTGAACTGGCATAGACAACAAAACTTCGTAAGAAAATATCTTGAGTCAAATCTCTGGATCTAATTTGTACTTACAATTATTGCTTGAAATGGAGATAAACAGATTAATAGAGTTCATTGCTGATCTCCAGGACACTAAAATATCTCACACATCTGCCATGTCCAGCCATAAATAGATGCATTGATTGTGGATGATACCAAGAATTCATGAGGTCTGTGACTTTTTTCTAAATTATCATTAAGATTCATTGCTGGTTTCATCTATAGATAAAACATTTATGTTTTTATATGACGAACTATTCCATAGAAAGATCAGAAGCACACTACTGATCACTACTTTTATAGGAAGTTACCTGGGCACCAGGTAGGTCGCATAGAGAAACCATAGCACACGACCTATGCATTTCAGCCAGGCTCAGCAAGCAAACACCAATCCCAAAACATATCCCTATACCGTTATTTAAAACCATGGATGGGACCCATGGGAGGGAAGGTCTCTTATTTGTCAAAATTCTCATGATAAACCACAATAGTTATTACGGGCATATCGACCTAAGTCTAATTCAACCTGCCCCCATCCTGAAATGACTATCTCAAGCCAAATTACGTTGTACATGAACTCTATTCCATTACAAGAACAAGAAGCAAGACACAATAGTTAATTCAACCCATACCTTTCCATGCACTATGTTGTATGAACTGGCAGACACATTAACCCAGGAAGAAAGTTCAGATATGATAAGAAGTTGGTTAAATATGTACAAGCCCCACATCCATGCCAGCAATGTGATCAACATAATCAGTTGAATCCAACCACTTCCCAACTGACTTGTCAATAAATTAAAAATAATAATAATAACACCAATATCAAGTCGAACTTTAGAAACCTACACATAAATGACACTTCCTACATAATATATAAAATGGTTGATATTCCATAAAGTTGACAATGACAATCTATGAAGCACGGACACTTCAAAATAAGCGCGTAGTGGTGTTGGACACAGGGACATATGCGTGTCCCTTTAAATATTTTTTTTTTGAAGGGAACACAGTAGAGCCACGTTGGGGACACAGGGACGCGCCAAATGGAGTGTCCCTTTATTTTTATTTTTTTATTTTTACAGGGGACACGGCGGGGACACGCGTGTTCAAATATGGATAATCTATTAATTTGTTTGAATGTAATGGTTTATATATATATTGAATTAATGCTAATTTTTATTAATTTTGATTATTTGGTAACATAATATTAATCTACATAGCAAATATATATAATAAAAATAATAATAATTTGCCATGTCCCCCCGCCGTGTTAGTATCCCCATTTTTTTGAAATCACCGTGTCAGCATCCGTGTCAGTGTCAGTGTCACTGCCAGTGTAGATGACAATCATAATAAATTCTACTCCAAATCCTTCCAAAAAATATTCCAAATCTAAGGACAAGTTAAGGGTTAAAGCATATCAAAATCATGGCAATTCTAATTCCTTTGTTGACAAACCTACAGTGACCATTAAACATCAGTTGTACAGATTACAGCTTTCACTAGCTCTTAGCCCAGTTTTCACTAGCTCTTAGCCCCAGTATATTGTTATTAAACTAAAAGTCATAACTCATAAGCCTAGCTTTTTATATTCCAAAGTTCAAAACCCAATCAATTAGAATCCCTCAACTTTGCATTTTCTTCTACTCATCACGATTTGGCTACCAGCAGCATGTTTAGAAACACACATAGGAGCATTTAAACCCTGGAAATCAGAAAGATAAATCATATAATTTACTTAGACCGTGATAGGGAACCCTATACATATGAACAAAGAAAAAGAAAACACATTTAAAGTTACATGAAGCTTAAGAATGATCTTTAACCGACAAAATCCAACTACTACAATGACCTACAATTACTTTCATAGATTAATTACCAGGCTACTTTAAATTTTCATCATAGCAACTCCTCAACAAATAATCCAACAAGTACATCTCAATGGTAGAGCAAATAACCTCTTGCTAACATATGAATATGAATATATATCATAAACAGGGAATTCTACAATTTAATTTGTTTGTCATCATACCACTTCCATCGCGAAAAACTTGGGAGAAGCACACATCCCCCGCTCGACGCATGTGATCCTGAATGAAAATGTGTGATATATAAATTTAGTAAATTGGGCATGGCATGTATAGACTCTCCAAGGAAGGGTAGGAACAGAATGTGTGATTTTGTGCATGTATGGTCACGTAAGACCAGTTAAAGCTCCAGCTCACCTTAACGTCTTGCCAAGAAGTAGAGCTAGGCAATCTGGAGACTAACACTGCACAAATGAGAAAAATGAGAATCAATTTGACGATAGAACAGAAGATGCCTGACAAAATCACAGGTATGCATATATCAAATGAAATACAAACCGCAATATTCAGAGCGTCTGGACACTCCACCATGGGGACCACACCCACTGCTGTAACAACTGTAACGATCGATTGATGATGAATTTCCACGACCTCCATGTGCAAGCTCCACCTTTATAAACATCAAGAAAGCATATAAGTGTCACAACTACTAACAAGTAGTTGGATGCTACATAGAAATGCCTCATGTGTGACCAACCCGTAGCCGGTGCCCATCAAAATCATAACCATCGCGACCTCTAATAGCATCTTCAGCATCACGAGCCTCTTCAAACTGTAAGAAACATTTTTGGAAAATAGTGTTGGGTAGAGAATGACTAATAAAAGGAACACAAAACAGCCATAAACTCACCTCAACAAAAGCATAACCAGGGGGTCTTGGTGGGATTTTCAAATCAATATGGGCTATCGGTCCATACTGCAACATTAACCCAGTTAAATACATAAGGCCCACTATTTCACATAAAGCAAGATACAAAAGTCAATTCAACTCATCTGGCACCCTTAAACATCTTTCTCAATGTTAATTTCATATGTGAAATTTAACTCATGAATACACTTGTTTATATGCATAGATAGGTTGCAAATTCTGTAACACTGTTGGAGACACGCATATTACTGCATTTATATAATGCATGTTATTATATCAAAATCCCAAAAAGAAAAAACAAAAACATTTCATATTCACTTCAAGTTGCAATAGAATATAAACAAAAAGAGAGATATACTTTGTAAAAGAGATCTTCTACTTCCCGCTCACGAATGTCACCGGGAAGATTGCCAACATAGAGTGTTCTACTTGAGCGACTCATTGTTCCTGAAAAAACCAATATTAACAATGACAAGAATCAGAAGAAAATCACAACAAAACCTAACTATAAACAAATAAAGAGAACAAAATGGTTATACCCAATTAACAAAATCACAAACAAGACAAAATTCAAGGGATAATTAAAAAAGAAATGAACAAAATAACACTGAAACCTTAATACAAAACCGTAATCTTGAAATGGCTATCACGATTATCCACATATTAGTGAAAATTGTTGAAAAAAATATTCAAATGACTCTCCACCTTGAGACCTTCGTTATATATACACAGACGACACTGACTCTCCACCTATCTGAGAGTTGGCCTGTAACGGAAGTTACGTCAGCGTGTGGTGATCCATATAGCGAATGCTACGTGGTCCCTCTCATTTGTACTGGAGTTCGTATTTTTTATTATTTTTTTACAATTTTACTAATATTTGTTAGGGGTAGGCACGGATCGGTTGAGACTACAGAACATCCAATCCGTCATTCGTCTGTCAAATTGACGGATTAGAGAAAATCAATCCGCATCCGTCTGCCAATCCGGCAGATGTGAATTGAACGGATTGACAGTTTGGCGGATGGATGCGAATTAGTTTGGTGGTTTAAAATTTTATAAATTTTTAACGTAATTTAACTTGTGCACTTCCTCAAAAAAAAAAAAAGTATTATAGTCAATCACTTAAAAAAGTATTACAATCGCTGTATGCATCATCTAAAGAAAGAAAGTTTGAAACTTTAGAATATCACAATCACTGCATGCCTCATCCACATATTATAATCACAGCATAATTCATCCACATAAAGTATTACAATCTGTGGTTCTTAAAATATAAAAACAATTCAAACCACCAAAACTATGAACATATTATAATCACAGCATAATTCATCCACATAAAGTATTACAATCTGTGGTTCTTAAAATATAAAAACAATTCAAACCACCAAAACTATGAACAGAGCAGTAGTAGATATTATATGTCTCTGTATTGTTACATCTATATATGCTTTTGAAAACAAAAACCAACCAGCATATATCATATTTTCTATTTATTATTTTTAGAGTTAGATTTAAAAACCAAAAAATATAGATAAATAATACGTTTATTTTTTTTAATTCAAAAAATATATTCAAGTTGGAAACTTTTTTTCAACAGAATATTTAAACTCTTTTTCAATTGAAAACACAAAATCTTATAAATTACTAAGGGTGCTCGCGGTTTGGCGGTTCGGTTGCGGCCAAAGGAATCTCAAATCCGCCATCCGTCCTCCAAATTGGCGGATTGGAGAAAATCAATCCGCAACCATCCGCTCGTCATCACGCATCCGTCCAAAATGCGGCGAATCGGTTCAGTTCGGTTCGGTTCGGTCGGTTTTGACGGATCAGTATATCCGTTGCTCACCCCTAATATTTGCGATTTGATCTCTCTAGAGGAAAATAAATAATATAATAGCACCTCCAATTGTAATTTTTTTTTATTAAAATTTAAGTAAAAATTTCATTTGATATCAAATATTTTAACAGAATATTTCAACTTTTATCAAAACATTGGTCGATCGAATAATGTAATTTTTTCACAAATTTTTACAAAGAGATAGTTATTCGGAGGGACATCCGGTGGTGAAAATATAATGGTTATAAACAGTGAATTGATGATAGCTCCCAGCCATCCTCAATTAAGTGAAAGATTTATCATATCTTCAATTTGATACTCATCTAGTAGGAAAAATAATAATTTTTTATCAAATTTAAATTTAATAAAAGAATTGATGATGCGTTAGGGATGGTCTAATTTCCCTCCCCGCTATCAAAGGTGACAAATGAATGAATTTTGTCGGGGTCAAAAAGATTATACATGTAAAGTAATCTAACCTAAATTTTTCTATTTAATAAATGGACTTAAACAGGTTAGATGAAATTGAATAAATAAATCTAACCATTTTATTTATTTCATATTTTTTTTTGTTTTTTTAACAAAAATAAATTTACTTATTGTTTCTTTTCTTTTTTTTTAAGATTTTTATCTCTCCATGAAACTCCTCTTAAGATCTCGACTGTAACCGATTCAGGAAGGGCTTTTTTATTTTTATATTTTTTAAAAAAAATTAATTTTTTTACTTTAAAAAGTTTTAAATTGGTGGTAGAGATGCTACCTATTTAGATGGGGTTTAAATACATATTCATGTCCAACCCGTGCAAATTTAATTTTAATTAGATTGACAATGAGCAATTTGTTTAAGCCAATTTATTGATTTGTCGTATTAATATAGGTTTTAAATAAATATAATTGAGTGGGGTTATGAGATTAGAAATTTTAGTAAGACTGCAATTGGTTCATAAATTTGATAAAGGATTTAAAAAGAGAAAATGTGTGTAAAATGTAATTATATTCTGAATTAAAATTTTTAATTTTCCACTTTGATCTTGAGAAGTAATAGCAAAGGGAAAGTCTATAGTACATTTTGTTCAAAAAATGTACGGTACATAGAAAATCAATGGCTAAGATTAAGCCATATTATTAAAAGTGACCTGCTAAACAGGTCACTTTTTATAGTTATGAGCCAAAATCATATTTCTTCATAACTATAATCAAATTGATCATAACTTAATTATAACCACATCTCATAACCAACACAATTTTATTCATAACTAATATCACATATTTCATAACCACATCTCATAACCAACACCATTTTGTTCATAACTAATATCACATATTTCATAATCATAATCACATATCTCATAACCATTGATCACATATCTCACAACTACTACCCACATAAATCATAACCACATCTCATATCCAGCCCCTTTGAGTCATAACCAACATCACATATCTCATAACCACTAGTCACATATCTCGTAACCAATACCTTTTTGTCATAACCAACATCACATATCTCATAACCACTAGTAACATAACTCATAATTAACACATTTTTGCTCATAACCACACCACTTTGATCATAACCAACATCACATATCTCATAACCATTGATCACATAACTCATAACTACTACCCACATGAATCATAGCCACATCTCATAACCAGCCTCTTTGAGTCATAACCAACATCATATATCTCATAATCACAAGTCACATATCTAATAACCAACATCACATATCTCATAACCACTAGTCACATAACCAATATCTTATAACTCATAACCATTAATACATATAGCATAACCAAACACCATTTGACACCACTTTGCTCATAACCATTACCCACATATCTCATAACCATTAACACATATAGCATAACCAAACACCCTTTGACACCACTTTGCTTATAACCATGACCCACATATCTTATAACCACTAACACATATAGCATAACCAAATACCCTTTGACATCACTTTGCTCATAACCATTGCCCACATATCTCATAACCACTAACACATATAGCATAACCAAACACCCCTTGACACCACTTTGCTTATAACCATTACACACATATCTCATAACCACTAACACATATAACATAACCAAATACCCTTTGACACCACTTTGCTCATAACTATTACCCACATACCTCATAACCACTAACACATATAGCATAACCAAACTCCCTTTGACAACACTTTACTCATAACCATTACCCACATATCTCATAACCAACATCACATATATCATAACTACTAATCACATATCTCATAACTGCTAATCACATATTTATTTGTTTATTTTAATTGATAGTAGGATACTTGCAGGTGTGCTGTCTTTTTTTTGTTTGTTTGTTTGCAATTAATAGCAGGGCGCTTGCGGATGTGCTATTTTATTTATTTGTTTCATGTTAATTGATAGTAGGCTACTTGCTTCTGTTTTTTTGAATTTATTTGCTTTGAATTGATAGCAGGGCACTGGCGGGTGTGCTTTTATTTTGTTTGTTTATTTTAATTGATAGTAGGATACTTGCGGGTGTACTGTCTTTTTTTTAGAGGGAGATGACGTCACAAGAGAAAGATTGAATTCATTTTTGGTTGAACTCAAATTTGTTGAATGACATGTAAATGTCTGGAAATTCTGAATTGATACTTTTGCTTCCCACCCACGATTTGAGGGAGTAGAGAAGAAATGTACATGTTTGAAAAGAAAGAACTCTAGAGGGCAAAAACATCACAAGAGAGTCTGGTTCAAGTAAATTCATTAAATTTCATAAACATTTGAAAATTCTATACTGAGATTTTTGCTTTCACCCACCCATCACAGACGAAGCATGAATCCTCTAAGGTGTTTATTTTATTTTATTTTCAAGTGATTCTACATAAATAATAATTGCTTCCAAAATTGTGTTGTAAGTAGTAGAGAGAATAAGGTATGGAGGGGATGTAAAATGAGAAAGATAAATAGTTGTAGTCCTATTTAAACCCTCTTTAGGGATAATAAACGAACCGAACAATTAATTGTTATAACTTGCTTTGATAACTTTAACGAATTTTAAAATTTGTTCAACTTTGGTTCGTTAAATTTTCGAGTCGATATCAAATGAGTTTTTGTCAAGCCGATCTCAAGTAATTTGGTAGTTTTAGATTCATCAAACAGAGCCGAACAAGCAATTGACTATTCAAACTTAATTTGAAAACTTTAATGAGTTTCAAAATGTGTTCAAGTTTGGCTTATTTACTTAACGAACTAAGCTCAAATGAGTTTTTAATGAGCTGAACATAAGTCGAGCTCAAGTTGTTTGGTTCGTTTATCACTCCTAACCCTCTTGTCTGATTGTTAATGAGAATTGTTATACATTGGTTGTTCTTTTCTTTTCTTTTTTTTTCTTGGTTGATTGATGAAATTTCCAAACTTATGGGACCATATGTTATTTGATCCAAATTTTAATATGTTTTTGTGATAAGAACACGCAGTGAAAGTTGTTGAAAAAGTTGCCAATGGCTGGCGGATGGTGGTAGCTGGCAACAATGGCTGGTAGCTGTAAGGTGGGACAAATAGGTGACACGTGTATAATTAGGTGATATTTGGACAAATAATTAGAAAAATACGTGACATGGGTACAGATAAATAACATTTGAACATATAGATAAATTTTTGGATAGATAAAGGCTTGGCTCTATTGGCCTAATAATTTTAAAAGTGGAATTCTAACCTAAGTATTTTGTTTTTTTTAAAGAAATCTTTTTTATAAATTAAACGAAATAAATAAATTTGTGATATGATATCTTATAGGCGAGGACTGTGGGGTTGAAGGGAGAATTTGGTGCAAGGGGTTAGTTGAGGTAGAAATGTAAAGATGAGAGGGAAGAATCATGGAACCACGTAAGATTAATGAGAATCCAATTAAAGTGGCTTCCAGATA